GGAAACTGGACATTTTAAAGAATATAACACACCTCTGGGTAATGGTACACCTCCCATCCCCCCCTTTCTGGGCCTTGTTATTTGTAAATTTGTTTAGTGACTGGCTGGATCCTTTTAGTGACATTTATCCCTCCATACACACAATGCTCAGCTTCTTATATTATTCCTCTGGGAGAAACAGCTTTGGTATGCCTAGAGTTACCCTGGGATCACAGTGGGCTTGCTAGGACTTTCTTCCTCTCTTTTACTAACTACATCCAGCAGTTAAACTCCACTAATTAATTGCTCACTGATTGCTCTATTGTTTTGAATAATGTCCTGGGTCTATAAACAACACAATCAAATTCTGGTTCCTTTGAAGGAATATTTTCCAAGATCAGTATTTATTTTTCTTCTGACCTCAAGAAAGCTCTTCCCAGATGTCATTCCTGGTTGTCTCCATCAAACTAGCAGACCTACAGGTTAGCCTGTGTCATGAATCTCCTCTCAAATACCTTTTACACCACAACCTCCACTATTTTTGAGAGTGCATTCAGGCTTGAATTTCTTCACTCTCTGTTGCAAATGAAGTCTATTCCATTGGGAAGAAACTAAGAGCTATCTGTTTTATGGTCTATTTTACCATTCAGGCAAATTCTCTGAGTCAAGGCTCTGGAGCTGGGTATGGGGGGAATGGCAAATTTCTAAGTGACACTCCCACTAAAGGAGCTGAGACTTTAGTGGAAGGAGGGAGAGACATCAGCATGGGGTCCTCTCAGCTTGCCTCTCCTGGCATGTAACCATACTGTCTTATGACCCAAGGCAAGAGAGATCTGGGTCCCAGTATTTTCAGCATGCCACTATCAAATTCCACAAGTTGGGCCTAGGTAAAAGAAGGCACCTCCCACCTCTCAACTGCACTCCTCTAGGACTTAGCCTCAGCAACAGGTAACTGGGTGCAGGATATGAAATACTGATACCTTGATCCTCCTAGAAAGAATTATGTCTGTCCAGGTGCTAGGGGAGAGTGGGAATAAATGACAAGTAAAAATTATAAGAGATCACTGTTTTGGAATAAGCTTCTGCCTAGGTCCCAACAGACCAGACTAAACATCAAATGGAGTCTCCAATGGAGACTAAAATGGAGTCACTCATGCCAAAGTTCTAAACCCAAACTAAGCTGTTGTCTGACCTTCTGAGAAATCAGAAGAAAGAAAGAACTAACAACTTGTTTCCCAAACAAGCCAGTTTAAAATCTTTAATTGACATGATAATGAAGTTGCCTCTGTTTTTAACACTTGCACAGAAATTAAAAAAAAATAGCCCTAAGTAACCTGATGTTAATTACCCAGTTAAGTTTCTATTGTTCTATCTAAAGTAACTAATACATTCTTTGTTCTTTGCTTCTGCTTTCTCCAGCTTTTCTGACTATAAAGCCAACCTCTTCTGCCCATCATTGAACACTTATTCTATTTTATGGAATGAAGTGTTGCCCAATTCTAGAGTCCCAAATAAAGCCAACTGGAGCTGAGTGCTGTAATGCCTGTCCCAGCTACTTAGGAGCTTGAGGCACGAGGATCCCTTAAGCCCAGGAGTTCATCCAGCCTAAGCAACACAGTGATACCCCTTCTTTTCAATAAAGCAAAAAAGTAAAGCAAATTGAGATCATCAAACTAAATTTGTTGTGATTTTGTCTTTTCATAGGAGGAAGCCCTGTGTTCTTGGCTGCAGCAGGACTGGAATGTCTACCTTGCTGAGCTAGGAAGGAGGAGGGATGGAGCAGTATTTGTTTAAACATCACAGACTCTCTTGTTTATTTCTGAATTTTCATAGACATTCTTGAATAAATGATTCTTCATTTGCTGTTTGCCCTTAGGACTATTTCCAGAAACTTTAAATGGTTGGACTTTTTCTTTTATAGTTTTTACCAGTTTCACCAGGAAGCAGGTCAGCAGCTTCTCGGAACTTTCATGCTAGAAGCTGATCTCTCATTCGCCCTTTAACATGAAGGTAATAAGGAAGCATGGTGCTAGGACTCTATATATGCTGTCTCATTTCATCTTCACAACTTTGAGGGAAATATTATAGATCTTATCTTTTGCAGACCTTGAAACTGAGTCATTTACTAATGCGACAAGTAAAGAGCAAATAGGTGGCAGAGATGTGATTCAAATTTAGGTCTAATTAACTCCAAAGCCTGTGTTCTTAACTAAGCCCTTCCTTTCATCTTTTACAGTTTTAAAAATCAGAGCTCATGAAGCTGTATATCTCTGTGCATAATTTCTTTTCTTTTCTTTTTTTGAGACAGTCTCACTCTGTTGCCTGGGCTAGAGTGCCTTGGTGTTAGCCTTGCATACAGCAACCTCAAACACCTGGGCTCAAGCAATCCTTCTGTCTCAGCCTCCCAAGTAGCTGGGACTACAGGTATATGCCACCATGTCTGGCTATTTTTTTCTATATATTTTTAGTTGCCCAATTAATTTCTTTCTATTTTTAGTAGAGACAGAGTTTTGCTCTTGCGTGGGCTAGTTTCAAACTCCTAAGCTTGAGCAATCCTCCCACCTTAGCCTCCCAGAGTGCTAGGACTATAGGCATGAGCCACTGCGCCCGGCCCCTGTGCATAATTTCTTTAAGCAATACACTACCTTCTTCCATTTTTTTCTTCATCTGGATTTTTCATAATACTATAATGATATTAGCATAGTCTGCATTATATATTATATAATGTGTGCTATATTATATAATTACATATTTCCTTTTAAAAATATTATCCAAAGGACTATTCTGTTTGTTCATCCTTTGAATTACATTCACATAGAGTCCACAAACAGGGGATTGTTATCTCACCTGTGCTTTTGTAAGATAGATCTGATGTGACCTGTGTTCTTTGATCATTATGAACATTAAGATGACATGGTCTTTTTTCTCCCCAATTTACTATTGTTTCTCAACCAATAAATATGAGATAAAATGGGTAGTTCAGGATTTGGGAGATTTTTTTTTTTTTTCCTAGAATAAAACTTGTAAAAATGTATCTAGATAATCAAAGCTGTCCGTTTGCTTTTGTGTATAATTATGATCGGAATTAAGGCAGTTTCATCATAACTTACATACATCAGGCTGTACTATACTCTCCCATAACATGATTGCTATTTCTCTCTCCAAATACTCTCTGTTATGCTTTTATTTTCTGGTTCATGGATTTACATATAAGCATGCCCTTGAGGAAGATTTCTTTGATCTCCAAAAGTTAATCACACTGCCATCTGCACTACTGCTCTCACCTATACAGAGTTTTACAGTTTCTGTTCTCATATTCAATGTAGTATGTTGTTTCTATGTTTGTCTTCCCCTAGATTTCTTCATGGAAGGAAAATCAGTGTCTTAACAGAGTCAGCATCTTCAAGACACATGACTGGCATAAAATTATCATTCCCACTGAAAAAGCCTACTATGTCTTCTTGATATACAATTATTGACGTACAATGCTATTCTTCAAACCTTTTAATGCTTTCATTTCTTTGAAATAAAGTATCCCCTCCCATACTATATTCTTTTTTTTTTTTTATTTCGGCTATATTCTTTTTTTTTTCTTGTTAGGTAATATGCCAACATTATTACAAGGTTTGAAGAGGACAAAGCCCAATCATCATGGTTATGAACTACAAAAGGATCCAGACTATATTCTGACTATAAATTTCATTCCATCACATTAGCTTTGACACAAAATAAGCACATATATAAAGACAATTAAAGATAAAATTAAGAAATGAGGATACCTCCTTTAAAAAGGACTAGCACTTATCCTGAAGACACTTAGAAACAAAAAACATTAGATTGCTAGGGAAACTTTAAGCCACTCACACCAAAAAATTCCATGTGGCCACAACCAACCAGTCATTAATAAGAAGATTCCATTTCAAAAGTAACTCAATGCTTCTAAATATATTTTAAATTAGTTAGTATTTACATATAAATACAAATATGAAATAAATGTGACATTAAAAACATGAATAAGTATAAAATTTAAAAACCCCCAAATAAAGAAATTAGATAAACCTAAAGTATATAAAAACTTTCCCTACAGTTAGTTGCCAAAAGAATAAAAAAAGATATGTCAGTTTAGACTTGAAAATTTATCCTTTACTTCTACCTGGTTCCGTTTGTCACTGTTAAAAAAAATTGTGAGTTCAAGACCAGTTAAGCAAGAGCAAGATCTCATCTCTACAAAAAAAAATAGAAAAATTAGCCAGGCATGGTGGTATGTGCCTGTAATCCCCGCTACTCAGGAGGCTGAGGCAGGAGGACAGCTGGACCCCAAGAGTTTCAGGCTGCTGTGAGCTATGATGACACCACTGCACTCTGGCCCAACCGACAGAGTAAGACCTTGTCTCAAAAAAAAAAAAATTTTTTTTTTTTTGGCCAGTTTTTATCACTTCAAAAGTCAGATTTATCAGTAACAAATTCTCTTGCTTATTTGTTGAACTAAAACAAATGTTGTGCTTAAAGCTAAGTGTGAGAGAAAAAAAATAGCTACTGAAGGCAAAACCTCCAAAATTACAAGAATCATCAAGGGGAACTGTGAACACATGGTAAGGAATATAGTTACATGTTATATTTAAACAAAGCGTAAGGAATGCATCAGGCTGAGATTGCCCCAAGGGAAGCATTCTCGCACCACAGAAGCTCGCACACTCGGTAACCTCAGTGAGAACCTGGAAATGGGAAAGACCCTCAGTCACATGTTCTGAAACCATGTTTGGTTTTGGAAATCTTTAATCGCAACTGTCAGCACCTGACTGAAACAAACAAAACACCTTTGCTAAGGAAACAAAGATGTTGGGTGGGGGGGTTACTAGGTTAATCAAAACAAATTAAAATTACTGTGTTGATAGAAAATGACAGGACTGAAGGACAGCATCGAGTGACAGCTGCTCAAGTGACAAAGGCACTGAACAGCTATTTTAGGTTTGCCATCGGGTGCTCAATAGCTGTTTAAAGAATGCAATAAATGTACTTACCAAATATTTCCCCTCCACTAGCATATTCTGTCACCAGATAAATCATCCGTTCTGTCTCCATAACCTGGTGCAAAGGCAGGAAAGTGACAGACAGTGACACAAATGACAGGCCGATATCACAGGAAGAGAAACTAATGAATCCTCTTTTGTCATTTGAAATATTAATAACCACTACTGCTTAAAGAAAATTTAAAACATTTTGGGAGGAACAAATACAAATGTTATTAAGAAGAAAGGGAGAGAGCAGATGTTTCTCCAAATTCTAAAAGAAGGAAACATTTACTGCTTGAGAGAGTCCTTTTGTTGTTCCATGAGGTCTCTGTAATCTCTTAAACTCCATAAAACTGAGAAGCAAAGAAGCTGTCAAGAACCAGAACTTAAAGTTCACATTCAACACCAATCACTCGAAGCTCAAAAATGCCCCCTTAAAACTCAACCAAAACAAAAAAGCTTTAAGGAAAAATAATAAGAAACATTTAAAAACTGCACAGAAATCATGTATAGCTTTCTTTTTAAAAGTGAAATAACTTTCTTTTCCACTGCCCATTAATTTTAAAAAGGGAATAATTTAAAATAATCAACTTTTTAAGTAACAAGTTATTTGTATTTTGTATTTGGCCCCTATTTTGCTACTTTTTTTTTTTAATTTGCTGTAATACGTTGTTAGTCCTGTCTTCCTTTTCACCTTTTCCAGCAAACATTTTTTAAAGCAATATATATGCATACATACACTCATTATAACATCAGAAATACCTAGTATATAAACAAAAGTCCAAAGGTTTTTCTCATCCCAACCCCTTCCATCTTACTCTCCAGAGGAACTCTGTTAATAGCTTTTTATATATCCTTCTAGAACAGTGCTGTCCAATAGAAATATAATGTGAGCCACATATATAATTTTAACCTTTCTAGTAGCCACATTTAAAAGTAAAAAGAAAAAGGTGAAAATAATTCTAATAACATATTTTATTTACCCCATGTCTACAATATTATAATTTCAACAATCTTTAAAATAGTAAATTGCTTCAGTTTATACACTCACATCAGTTAAAACTAAATAAAATTTAAAATTCAGTTCCTCAGTCACTCTGGTCACATTTAAATACTCAACAGCCACATGCAGTTAGTGGCTACCACTTGGGACAACACAGTTCTAGATGTTCACTGTACTTTACAGTTAATTAATTAATTCCCAGTTACTTTCTTTATATTTATATGCATTAATGCCATATAACAATAGTATGTATTGTGATATACAGACCTATTTCTTCTTTTTAATGGCTTCATAGTATTCCATTGTATGAGAGCATATTAATTTAATTTTCCAATCTAATAGCTGTGTTCTTTTCTGTTCTTTTTTCCTTCCTTTTTAAAAATTCTCTATATGCTGGTGATATTAGCCTATGTATTGATTCTGAGCTCTCTCCACATGTTAATTTACATGACAAAAAGTAAATGCTTTAAATACATTCAGGTGTTTAGAAAAAAAAGAAAGAAAAAAACAAATGTCATATTATATATGTCCTTTGTACTAGCCAGGCCTTTTACTAACTGCAAATGTTCTTTTATTATTACACTTTTCAGGAGTTCAAAACATGTTATTTTGTATACAGTTATCTATATTTGTTTACTCTATAAACCTGAAGAAATGAACCTGAAAACTACCTTGATACCATAAGATGACAATTTGCTAGCCATTCACCTTGGCAGCTCAGAATTTCCCATTAATAATACTAGCTGCCAAAAAGCAAAATTAAAATTTACTAGAAGGCATTGTTCAAAGCCAGGGCTAGAACCATGCACATTCTTACAGGGTAATGAAATATTGGGTAAGAGAGGCAAACTCGCAGAATTTGGTTATAAGGTTAATACCTACAAGTTAACCATCCTCTTGAGAAAGGTCAGCCTAAGTCCTGCAATTACGTAAAGATGACTTATTTTAAAAGGTGAGATCAAGAAGTTTATTCGGTCTACCAGGATAGGAAGGAAGCTGAGGTTAGACACTTGTGAGCTCAGACACAGGTCTTCAGGCAATACCAGGAAGTTTTCACAGGTTTACTTCTGGGGCAGAACATAGGTGTTGTTAAACATAATTTGGTCTGATAAACTTCAACAGGTCTGCTCCTGCTGACTTAATTCATTTCATTATGTGAGCAGCTGATGCCAGGGAAGCCTAAAGCTGTAGGCTTAACCACACAGACTAACATCATGACATGTTTTCTTTTCCATAAACATAACAGGCTATGCAAGCTTGCCCATTGTGCCTTGGGTGTGCTTTCTCCGCTCTTACACATGGTCCTATGTCTGGGCCAGTAGCCATTTACTACAGACTAACAGTAGCAAATGAACTGAGTGGGTGGCCACTTCCTTCAGAACTAGGAGATGGCTGTTCAGGCAGAGAGCAGCGAGTAGAGCTGGCCCTGTACAGAGGCAGAGTTTGTGGCTGCCAACACACTGCAATTTGAGAAGCACCCCAAAGCTCCACCTCTCCCAAAATATCTCTTCCACCAGCCTGGTAAGGCAAGATCCTCCCCTCCTATCTGGCTTGAAATTCCAGCCATCAGATTTACTGCTTTTGTAGTTAGGATAGGGAATTATTTTGACGATGGCATGAAATCTGCATATTTCTTGGGAAAGTAAGAAAACTGAAATAAAAATCTCTCCTATTACTTAGAATCAGTCTCTTGATTGTCAAAATAATTAAATGCTACCTTAGAAAACTAAGTCCAGGATCTTACTAGAATAGAAAAGAGGTAGGTTTTGACTGATGCAAGAAGTAACAGCAATACTTAAAATATCCTTTGCCATCACAATTCATAATATGATCTTAGAAATTAGTATTTTAATGATGTTGTAAAAATAATGTTATATTCATCTCTAGCTTTTCATCTGTTTAAATTCTCTCTTCCTTTTGGATCTCCCATCCTATTTTAGAATTCTGATCCAAATAAAATAAGTTATCATCATCTTCTGAATAATCTTTTTGCATGATTCTTGCTAAGAATGGCATCAAGTTTTAAAGAACAAATTAAAAAGACCTACCTGGGTAAGGCAAAACATGAAGATACTAACTACTGAGTGAGGAAACAGAAGGGTGGAGAAGATAATAGAATGAACACACGAACATAGCAACAAAAAAAGTTGCAGATGTTGTTAACCCACCCACATTTTCTTCAAAGGCAGCCATAGATACAACCGACCATTCTAGGTTCTTTGTAGCCATTCACTACCTGGTCGACCCTAATGATCCTACCTGGTAGAGCCTGATGATATGAGGGTGGCAAAGCATCTTCATAATTTGAACTTCCCGAAAAATCTTCTTCAAGTTTTCTTCATCCAGCTGAGTCTTATCTATGATCTTGATAGCAACCTGATAAAAGAGGAGGAAAATTTACTCTGATGTATTATTAAAAGCAGTTTACTGGCCAGGTGGGGTGGCTCACGCCTGTAATCCTAATACTTTGGGAGGCTGAGGTGGGAGGATAGCTTAAGGTCAGGAATTGGAGACCAGCCTGAGCAAGAGTGAGACTCCATCTCTACTAAAAATAGAAAAAATTAGCCGGGTATGGTAGTGCACGCCTATAATCCCAGATACTCAGGAGGCTGAGGCAGGATTGCTTGGGCCCAGGAGTTTGAGGTTGCTGTGAGCTAGGCTGATGCCACTGCACTCTAGCCCAGGCAACAGAGCAAGAGACTGTCTCAAAAAAATAAAATAAAAAGCAGTTAACTAAGGAAAATTAAATCCACTTTAAAACATTATATTCTACAAAAACAAGCTGCCAGTATGTTGTTTACACTATGTCTATGAGAAAAATTAATTTACTCCTTAAAAAAGACAGGAAATAGATTCCTAGCAAGTTGGTCTCAAAGGAACAGACTCCAAAAGCGAATGGGTCTGCTGCCATTTCTTAAATTGCTTATACAGTAAAATCCCATGACAAAACACTTCATTACTCCATAGGTGTGGTTGCAGTCTGGGTCAAATCATATGCCAGTGCAGAGAGTGCTGTCTGTGTAGGGCCTCTCATTAAGACAAGAAGCTTATATCATTAAGTACATGTTTTAGTAAGGTTCTACCAGAACTTTATAGGGGCTTTCCACATTTCACCAGGTGCTTGTATAACTCACTAGTAGTAGCAGTAATAGTAATAGTAGTAGTAGTGGTGGTGGCGGCAGTGGTAGTGGTGGTGATGTTGGTGGCAGCAGCAGGAGCTACCATACACTGAATGTTTACTATGCGCCAGGCATAATACTTGGTGCTTTGCAAGTACTAACTCATCTAAACCTCATAACACCTAATTATTAACCTTGTTGTATACAGATGGAAACTGAAGCACACGGAGATTAAGTAATTAACCCAAGATTCCTAGGCATCTTGGCTTTAGAGTCAAATTCTTAACAATAGTAAGAATCTCAAGATCTTTCTCTATCATTCATACATGGCTTCAGCACAAAACATATCTTTCCAATTTGCCCATTTTTTAAAAGATATCCAGCAGCACATATATTTTAAAGCAGAATTAAAGATGAAGGACTTTTTAGAATCTATTAAATCTCAATTTCTCATTATTCCCAGTGAAATACTTAAAACATTTGTCTTGCTACCAAATATCCCTGTATCTCAGTTTCAATTGCTTAATCAGTATGTAAGTAATATTAGTTAGATGAGGGTCCTGGATTAGGTAAATTCTAGTCCCCTCTAATTCTTTCTATACATGAAGAGAAGCAAAGGAAACTTATACAGCATTTAATGAAGAAAAAAAGAAAAATCAGGGAAGCAAAATTTCAACAGTAAAAATGTTTAGCTCAGAGAAATAAAGACTGTATGGAGCCATATACGGTAAATTGATTATTCAAATATATGAATGACTAGCATAAAAGGAATTTTATTTGGAGTTGTCTGACATATTAGAATTAGTACTAATGGGAGAAAGGCATAGGGAGACAAAATTTCAGCAGGATTCAAAGAGCATTTAAGCCCTGCCTAATGATGAAATGTGATGAAATGAGCTGGGTATGGATTGAGCTAAAAAAGATTAACCAGATACCACCGGAACTTCAAGGAGCTCACAGTCCAATTGGAGAAAGAGGTGTGAAACATAACAATACAGCATTGGAAGTACAATCAACAGAGCTATGTACCATGCATAACAGAACAGAGATTGATGAATGACCTTCACCTGCAGAAGAGGTAGACACAGGGAAAGATGTCACAAAGAAGGCAGAATTTGACTATAGAAAGAATTGGAGCAGGCAGAAAAGAAGGTAGAAAATTTAATGAGGAGAACCTCACCAGCTGCTTCATCTCCTATAAGAAGTCTTGACCCATATGACCCTTGACCACTAGCATTTCTATTTGTCTTCATTATCGTACCACATCACATACGGGACCTTAACTCCAACAACTGGTCTGGCACCTGCTCCTGCTTCTCTCAGGACAGCTTCCAAAACAAACAAACAAACAAACAATCATAATACAAAATGTCTCTTTATAGAACTAACAGCCAGGTCTTAATAGTAATTATTAACAAAATCTTACATATGAATAGCATCTTGTAGCGTATGCCAGATGGAGATGGGTTACAGGCGATGACCACCTCCAGTCTCAAGGAGCCTCACTGGTTTACCTCTGAAGAAATAGCATTTTCTATCCATGCCATGATGTACAAGAGGTCAGGAAGCAATGCTAGGATTTGTTGATCTTAACAACGGGTCATCAACTGTCTAAGGATTGTGCCTGAAATCCCACACCTCTGCTCACACCCTACTAATTATTGGCATGTACAAAGTAAGTGGGGGAAAGGAGTGGCCTTCAAGGCAACTGACCAAATTTTTGCACTTTCTCCCCTCCAAGAGAGTGCTGGGTCACACTGTAACTGAGAGAGTCAGACAGTGGGGCCTCCTTGATTCGCAGTGCACTCACTCTGGATTCCACCTGTGTTCTGCAGCGATAGGACCCTCAGAAAGGTAAAGAGAAAACTGAACCTAATTATCTATGAGTACAGAAGATCTTATCACATATACCATGTACCTAATCAATATATTTAACTTAATAAAGATAAAGGCATAGTATATAGATGTAGTTTCACATTTTGTAACACGTGTATCTGACTTCACATAAAGGGAATATGGTCCTACATATTGAAATGTACTCTTAGTACTTTATCGAAGAACTTTCCCTTGCTAGTCATACATGAGACTGACTTTACTTTTGGGGCACATTTCCTAACACCTTCACTTTGCAAATAAGGCACATAAGACCAGAGAGGTGGCCTGACTTAGTGACAGAACATACAGTCTCTGACTTACAATGGTTCCATTTATAATTCTTTGACTTTAAGATGGTGCAAAAGAAATATACTTTCAGTAGAAATCATACTTCAAATTTTGAATTTCGATCTTTTCCTGGGCTAATGATATGCAGTAAGGTACTCTACTGGGATGCTGGACAGCAGGAGCAAGTCACAATTCCCAGTCAGCCACACAATCAATCACAGCCAATTACCTGCAGTGCATTAAATCCATTTTTGGCTTACCATATTTTCAACTTACGATGGGTTGATCAGGACATAACCCAATCACAAGTCAAGGAGTACCTGTATTAGAAATAATGCTTTCTGTTAACTATTGTTAACAATAATTTATTGCATATTTCCAAATAGCAACAAAATTTGAAAGGCCTCCAACACAAATAAATGATAAATGTTTGAGTTGATGGATATCCTAATTACCCTGATTTGATAATTACACATTGTATGCATGTATTAACACATCACATGTACCTACACATATGTATAATTTTATAAATAAATAAATAACAAATTTTTAAAAAGAAATGTATTCTTATCTTTTCAGGAAAAAATTTATTAAGTGTAATCTGTTCTTAGAAGGAGGGTACAAAGACATTTAAAAGATTAAAACATCAAATTTCTGTCTACTGGCCAGGCCCGGTGGCTCACGCCTGTAATCCTAGCACTCTGGGAGACCTAGGCGGGCGGATTGCTCAAGGTCAGGAGTTTGAAACCAGCCTGAGCAAGAGTGAGACCCTGTCTCTACTATAAATAGAAATAAATTAATTGGCCAACTAACAAATATAGAAAAAATTAGCCGGGCATGGTGGCACATGCTTGTAGTCCCAGATACTCGGGAGGCTGAGGCAGTAGGATTACTTGAGCCCAGGAGTTTGACATTGCTATGAGGTAGGCTGACGCCATAGCACTCACTCTAGCCTGGGCAACAAAGCGAGACTCTGTCTCAAAAAAAAAAAAATTCTGTCTACTCTTCCAAAAGATTTAAGATTCCACAAGATGCTTAAAAGTGAGAAGCCAGGACTTTGGAGTCAAGATAGTTGGATTCAAAATCTTAGAACTATCCCTTAATGTGTAAATAAATTAAATAACTTGAGCAACTTATTTAATTTTTCTGTGGTTCCTTATCTATAAAATAGGGATAACAATAGAACCTCCTTATCTATAAAATAGGGATAACAATAGAACCTACTTTAAAGGGTTTTGGGGGATTAACTAAGCTAATGAATATGTAAACTACTTAGTATAATGCCTGACACATGGTAAACATGCAATATATGTTCACTACAGGTATTACTGTTGTTTTTCTTTTTTTCTGGAATCAAAACTTAAACTTTAGGTAGTCCTTGGCAAAGATTAGATTTGCTTCACTAAGCACCACAATCCTGGATCTGAAACACATCAATTCCTTATTCAAGGGGCGAGTAGAGGGGCCAAGAAGCAAGATAACTAACAATTTGTGGGCAGCATTCAGAACCAACCAGCTGCTGCCAACTGATGTGGGAAGAACACGGAAGGAACAGAGCTGGGGAAAAAAAAAAAGCATTCCATTTAGGAAAGTCACACTCAACCACAAGACAGAACCCACAGCAAGACTTGACCCTGAAGCCTGTGCCAGAAAGACAGTGGCCTGCTTCTTCACAGTAGGCCAGGCTTCCTGTGCCATCCCTAAGTAGCTAACATCTGAGAGGAGGACACTTAATGCTACTTGACAATAGCACAACTGCACGATAGGACCACTTAACAGAGAAGGCAACTTCCTAAAGCTTAGCTCCTACCTCAGCTGCAAACTGGAACATGGAGGTGCTCTACAAAGCATAAAAATACCATTGGAACAAAGAAACTACCAAGTCAGAGGGCAGGAGGTTGGCACTCAGGTATAATTATTTTGAGAATATCTGAACAGATTCATGAGCATGAATTTTCACAGCTATAGATTACTGGAGGCTACAAAAGGTTTTAGCTTAAAGTACACCAGTTGCTTGAAAAATTAAATGTGTCATAGCAAAGGTAAATTAGTATGTAAATAAAGGACAAACTCTCAAAGAATCTGTTTTTTTAG